ATTGAGAAAGTAGTCGAAAAATTGCCAGGCTCTCTTCGAAAGTGAAAGTAAAGTTGTTAGGTTATTCCCTATGGGGTTGCAGATTTTGCTATTAATGTAAGCGGTACAATATGTGTCCTAATAATTCCAACACAAGTATATTCCGTTGGATTATGTTAAAACGTGTGTAAGTACTCCTTAACACATTCGCGACCGCTGCCGTGAATTCACGTCTTTTCAAGTTCTATTCCTGATTACCGCTTACGTGAATCACGTCCTTAACGATACACGATACAAGTTTGCGGCAACCAGTTTAAGAATTTCATTATTTTCGCCGGTACTCAGTATTTGAAACGGAAAAAATTTCCCGGTCGCGAATGTGTTAAGTTAATCAGCGTAGTGGCTTTCGCTTGACTGCGATTTTTTACGAAGCTAAACTACAGTAGCCCCCTTCATTTCCGTGCATTCAACGAGACAGATGAATATCATGAAATTCGGCAGTTTTGGCCTATTACATTTTTAAACCGAGAAAATTGAACAGTCGGAGTTAGTCGAAACTGAGAATTTCATGGCCAAAGCGCGTTCATTATCCCGAAATATCGGTCTGGAAATGAATTTCGAAGAAAGAATTTTTAACGAAACTGCCAAGTATTCTTCCAACATTTTTTGTAACTTGAAAAGAGAAACTGTTGAAAAAATAGATGGTGGTTAAGTTAAAGACGATGTGCTCTATGTAAAAAGTTCAAATGAAAACAGTGGGAGGACAATGAAAACTTTAAGCCGATTTAAGTTCACTTATGATTAAAAGTTTCAGTTGTTTCGTGTAAAGGAATAATGAAAAGGCACTGAAATTAATATTGCCTTAATATAAATGTATCTGGCAGAGTTTGTTAACACCGAGGGTGTGTTTGATGGGTGGTATTCATGTAAAATATTAACACTACACAGCAAAATTATCCCTACAGGTGGTGCAGCTCCACAACTTAAAGTGTTATGTTGTCCGGACTTTTTAATCCTAATCTGTAGCATGTGCGCAATTACAAGAAAATGCGCTCCCTACTTATCAAATTCCTAACTGTTTTAACATGGTTCTTTGGGGAAATAATCTTCACTGACACAAACTGCAGTTCCCTAGATAGTCCATCATCCCAACATTTAGGTTTCCGGTTTCAAACAGGAAAGAACCATTATCAACATCAAGAAACTCGGTGGAGTTTCGCGCCAAATACGCATTTAAGCGCATACAAGTGCCTTGTAAGCGCGATATACAATTACATTCCGCAGACGTTACCTTTCATCGAGTCACCTTTTTTATAAGCTCCTCGAACGTTCGCATTTTTATTACAGAAATCCAGGATTTCGAGTCAAGGATTTTCGTTTTCCCTCAATGGTATCTACTTTCAACGATATCAACAGGAGCTTCAATTTGGCTCAACGAAATCCCGTCAAGTCGGATGAATATTTTTTCCCATCAGCCCGGTGGCAAGCAGAGGCAGAATTTTGGCTAAATTCTCGGAAGATTTTCCGATAATCGATCCCTCGCTCGCATTTCCGCGTGTACGCGGCTTTTTCATTGGACGTAATACCGACTCTCGAATGGGAACCATGCGTGTGACCCAGTTTCCAGAAGTACGACATTATTTGGCGTAAGCAGAAGCGCAAGCGTAGGTACGAGAGAGGCACGGAAAAAGCGAGGTGGCAATAAATCGACGATACCTTTTTTCTCCCGTGAAATCAGACCTATAGCGAATTCTCGTGTAATTGCTGCTTGAAGTCCATCGGGATATCCGAGCCGGCGAGCGAACGCCGGAAGTGGGAATCCATTCGAATGCCAAGGGATTCAAATCAATCCTTCCTCCTCCCAACCCAACGGATTAATGAAAATTCTTTTACTCGAGCTCTGCTGACAAAGGAGGGCATTTTACATGGTGGAACCAAACCAGGGGAAAATTTTGTGCCATACGACCCAGAATTCCGACACTCCCTTCCTTTTCTTTTTTCCATGGCTTTTTTTCGACAAAAAGAGCTGGTGTCGCTTTCAAGGTAATTTTCGCGCTTTTATGAAGGGGCGGGATCAACACCTTTGTCAACTTATCGTTTTATGTGATAAAACTACGTTTAGCGCATTAAATCTACCTAATAGCGAAAATAATTTCACTTAAGGGGTTACACCACCTTGATGCCTGAAAAACAATTGCGTTCGAGAATTCTTTTTTCAAAAATAACAAATTAAGTGAAATATCTGTCGATGAGCATTTATTGTGCAACAACTAGAGTACTGGAAAAAAAATGTTTATTTTGTTTACGAACAAAATCGCGTCGCTGAGGTCGATACATGTAAACGTCCTTTTCGGGAGCGCTAAATTGACATGGCAGAACAAAGCACCGAAAATTTCCATTTTGTATGTGATATTTATTACAGAAATATTTTGGGTTTCTTAAATATTTTTGTATGAAAACGGTGGTTGCTTGAAAAAAGATCTCATTTTTCCCTAAAAATTTAGTTTAAACGTAACCGTAGCAAAGTTAGCTCTTGCCCATATATTTCTTTAGTAAATGCCATCGTGTAGAAATTGATCATTTTTGGTTTATGATTTGATTATGATTAGCAACCACTACTATTTATGAACGTGACCTCTCCTACTTTCTGTTCACTGTAACACACCCCAAAAAAACAAATTTGATGGTAATTAAATTGAATACGCCATAAGCTACCCACGTGAATTAAACAATTGATTTGATACGCACTAGTAGTATGTTAAGCTTCAATTTTGTTCTTTTATGTCGTCATTTCCGACCCGTGTGTCATCGTAACGTTCATTACTGAAGTTATTGGTTTTTTCATAAAGCACCTTTTATGCAAAATGTGAAATATCCTGAGGAAATGTAAAATTCTCAAAGAATGCGCGTCCAAATTTCCGCGATAGTATTAATCAGCATGAAATATGAAATTATGATGTAGGCATATTTTTTGTTTTATTAATACCAATACGTGCGGAATTCCCATGGAATTCGATACCGGGAAAAATTCTGGGGATGGAATGCCCTACAGCTTCCACCACGCTTCCTCCACCTATAGAGAGGAATCCACGCGTGTTAATGCACTCATATTTCTCATGTTTTTTTCCCTTCGAGTAGAGATTCCAACATGTCCTTTTTTGCAGTAGAGGATAAGAACCGGCAGGTACAGGATTACCCAATAAAAATATCGCGGTATTTCTACGATCCGACTAAGCTTAGGAAAATCTTTTGAATTTCCACATTTTTTCAATTTAAGCACCATTGTGGCAGCATGTGGACTCGTTTTCTTCCTAGTCGTTACAGAGATGCAAATACATTGCAATTTACAATATATGCGAGTTTCGAATGTATACGAAAATAATAATATCTGACATTTATAATCGCAGCTGTATCAAGCAGGTCGGTAAATGTGGTACACGCATTTAGAAAGAGTCATGCTTAATTATTACTCAAATAATTAATATGCATCCAGATAATATTTTCTAAAAATCAGCTCCGCGATTGTGTTTCCATCAATCTTTTAAATTTCCACATTTTTTCAATTTAAGCACCATTGTGGCAGCATGTGGATTCGTTTTCTTCCTAGTCGTAACAGAGATGCAAATACATTGCAATTTACAATATATGCGAGTTTCGAATGTATACCAAAATAATAATATCTGATTTTTATAATCACAGCTATATCACGCAGGTCGGTAAATGTGGTACATGCATTTCGGAAGAGTTGCTCAAATAATTAACATGCATCCAGTGAATATTTTCTAAGAATCAGCTCAGCGATTGTGTTTCGTCAATTTTTCGGTCCTATGCGATTTTTTCTGTGCATCTGTGTGCAACTCAGGAAAACTTGGTTCCGCATTCTTACATTTATCTTACATTATCATTTCAAATAGGGGCATTTTACTACTCGGAGCTATGCATTCTCGTCCATGCAGTGACGGAGAATATGTAAGCCGCGACTGTGTTCCTCCTTTTCTGCAAGACAAGTACCTGCATTATGGAACAGTTTTGTGCCCGGAGGACGCCAAGTGAGCCAAGGATGACTGCATTTCATAACATATCTTCAATGGGTTCCACCGTTACTTCGGCTGTCGGACTGATTTTCAAACCCGAAATTATAACACTTATTCCTCTAAAGTGAAGTGACAGGGCGCTATTCTCTATGCAATTAAGTTTCATCAAATGAAGTTGTAGGAAGCATCATTTGGTTCATTACAACTGCATTTTTGTGCAAGTTTTCTGTACGTTATAAATCAAGCGACATATTTTCTATTACATACACATGTAAAAGTTGATGTTATTATTATATCATCAGCGTACATATATTGCAGACATTTCATGCAGAAAGTGGCCTGCAAACTGCTTGTAAATCGATTTTCCTCATCATATGATAATCATGAATTTTTATCTGGGAATTTAGTCGCGTTTCATCCGATTCAGTCGATTTTTCAAGCTACCGTCATAATTTATTCGCGTTTCATTCGGTTCAGCCGATTTTTCAGAAGTGAAGTAGATCGGTCTGTAGAAAAGTCACGCGTTTCTATTTGTTTCTATCACATTTACTAAACGCTATTGCCATAATTTAGTCGCCTTTCATCTGATTGAGTCGATTTTTCAGAAGTGAAGTTGGTCGGTCTGTAGTAAAGTCACGCATTTCTATTTGTTTTTATCACTTTTATTCAAACGCTACCGTCATAATTTAATCGCGTTTCATTCGGTTCAGCCAATTTTTCAGAAGCGAAGTTGGTCGGTCTCCAGATAAGTCATGCGTTTCTATTTGTGTTTATCACATTTACTCAAACGCTATCGCCATAATTTACACGCATTTCATCCGATTGAGTCGATTTTTCAGAAGCGAAGTTGGTCGGTCTGCAGAAAAGTCATGCGTCTCTATTTGTTTTTATCACTCATTAACAGATCGAGGAGGTGCGGCGGAGTAGGCGCGCAGGCGCAAGGTGCAAGTTGCATTTTAATGAAGCTCCCGTCATCTTGTTTTCCAGTGGCGTGACCCCCTTTCGAGGGCGGACCAGAGGCGGAAGTTGGACTCGGAAGAGGTGGCGTTGGGGAGAACCGGAACCGAAAATGGCCGCGAGGTGGCTCCTCTTGGTGCTCCTCTTCGCTCGAGCCGCCGCTCTTCCCGATGTCATTAGGATAGGTGAGTACCTTTTCCTTATAATTCCTAAATGTGTGCCGACCAAGAAACGGCCGATTCCCTGCTGGACAAACTCGATGGGAGGATAAGTCTTACTCAGCGGCGCTATGAGAACGGAGCTTTTACCGGAATTAGTTTGATTAACTGCTAGGTAAATCTACCGCGATGGTAATGATGGAGCCAACTGGTTCTATAAATTTGTCGAAACGACTTCGGCCAGTAGATAAAGCACGCAGTTCGTAGACAAAGTGCCGCCCAGTTCGGGAGGACATTCGGAGACCGTAATTAAAAGAAAATCAGCGAGCGACTTTATTAAACAGATACGGCTGTAGAAGACAAAAGGAGCTCGGTCGATTATGGAGAGTTTGGTCATTTAAGCCGCTCAGTGCACACATCGACTAACTCCACTTTTTGAAAAATCTTAAATTTAGGGGTCAAAGCACTTGGTATAGTCATAACTTTTTATATTTATAATATCTTTCCCGATTAATAGAGATTAACACCATTAAACGGCAAAATTTTTTTGGACATTGAATAATAAGTAATTTATTTCAGAAGCCATTTTGATTAACTCCATACACTAATGTAAATCGTAAACGAATACCTGGCAGTATAGTATTATTGGATTATCCGTTGCGGCCGTACATCGACGCTTTTTTTTTTAAACAGCCGAAGATGCTTTCCCCCTTTCAACAATATGAGTAATAAAATCGCATCAGCAAACAGATAGAAAGAAGTGCAATGCAGACGGTAGTTAGTATAACAGTGATCTCTCTCGCTGAATGTTACCGTATACTTCACCAATATTACACGGAATACATCATTTTTGGTCTTTTCAACCTTACTCCCTGATTGTTTTTAAAGAACTAAATATTATACCGTTATAATCAACATGAGTGAAACTAATAACAATGTGGATGTGGAAAGCAGTAATGATTCTTCAATACGATTTATCAGCAGAAAGTCTGGGGCAAGAAGACGTTTATCGTGTTTGTCGGATTCATCTGATTGCAACGGTACAAATTCCCGAACAAACACATCGATTGGGAGGAAAAGAAGTCGTAATCTTGATAAATGGGCGCGAAATTTACAAAAGCATAACGGAACAAAAGGTTTGGCATACAGGAATAGGGGAGGAAATTTAATACCTGCAAAAACATTTGTCGATATAAAATGCAGACGATTATTTTTTGGCTATTTTTTCTTATTAATTTTATATACCGTTTTTTAAAAAAGAATCTACATTACTTCATCGCATATCTCAACTTTTTGTTTTATGGAGTTAATCAATGTGTGCACTGAGCGGCTCATTTAATGCTCGAACGAAGGAAGACAATTTGGAATCTTCTTGGCTAGGGCTAGAAGTCGTTTGCGAGATGGACATTGTATGTTGGATGGCTACAACCGCGGAACGTTCCACCAATATATAGTTACGAGGGAAATACGGGAATTCGTGCAACTTATTCACGAGGCTTCTAATTAAATATACAATGGTATTCGAAGACGTAACTCTTCTAGACTTCTTTAACATTTAAATTAACCTAAACGATTTCGGCAATCGGTAGTTGCGCGAATTCGCTGAATCTCTCACTCGCAAATATATTCCGAGATCTTTCTTCCGCTCTCAACATTTTAAAACGTTACAATTTGTTCAATGAAAAACACAATTGTCGACGTCCACTTCCGACACGACGTGTGTCAATGGCCATCGGAGCTCGACGTTTTACTAAATACCCATTGGACGTCAGTCAAATGTTGACGAAATTATCAAAATGTAATTTTAAACACTATCCGTTTAAGTAAGAATCGAATATTTCTTATGTGATTCATTTTGAAGAACTGACCAGCAGATTTGATTACCTTGGCGGAGATTTATTTCCTAGAATTGTCATTTTTCCAATTTTATTTTTTGCGGGGAATCACAGACCAGTAATTGTGATTTTTCCAATGCGAAAATTAATGCAGTCATCACCGCTTGAATGATTAACGCGCAAGCTACCAAATGATTAATCTTCTAAGCACATAAATTTTCAACATGAGGATTTCGTTTCTCTGGTAATGACTCTCAATTAGATTTTGCTATGCAGGGTGAAAAAGAAAAATGCGTCCCATCCTCGTTATATGACCTCGATCGTCCAGATGCAGTTATTCTATATACACGATCTTCGGGCTGATATATATGCACCCGGGTCAATCGATCTCGGTAAATTGGAACAGCTAATTGGCAGTTGATTGCAGTTCCTAATGGATCGTGCAGGAGCACTATAGCGTGCCAAGAGGACCTTAAATTTATCGTTAATTATTGTGTCATCGCGTGGAGAATCTATACCTATCGGCGTGGATAGGGTGGTAATCCAGTTTCCGTTGACCCGAGGGAATCGGGCTATGCGATGAAAACAAAAAGTGATAACGTGCGATGGTACAGTGATAAGTGCGCATAAGGGGCGTGAATTCATTCGATGACCGATGCACAATTAGCGCGTCTCTGCGGCTTCCCGATGATCTACGCATATCAATTTATATAAGATAACTATGATAGCGAGTAGAATTCACGAGTAATAAAATTTCCTTAATTTACGGTCAACAATTACGACCGCCAACCGTATTACTTGAAGTTTGCCAACTTTACTCATTAGGGGAACGTTACATGAATTTGTTTCTTCAGCGGAAAACGCGAAAGATGTGCACGCAGAAAAATAATTCATGGCTATAATAACAAATTTCACTTGCTTCAACAAATGTAAACACTTAAAAAAGAGCCAGCAATACTTTCTTTTAGTAACAGTTTTGTTGTATGAACAACGAAAAATTGTTAATACCGAGGCAATGTAAATTGTATCTATGGTTGCAATATTCTTTACCAGCGACAACAGATTGTATATCGCTTTTTTGATCGAGCATTAACGACAATATTTGTTTACTATTGCTATAAATTTATATGCAAATTGAGCAGGCACTTTTCTTTCGAAAAAACGCTAGTATTGTTAACATTTTTGATGTCAGTATAATTATTACCACGGACAAAGCCAAATTTTATCACGAATGCTGTCCTTTACTAAAACTATTAATGTCTTCTTCTGTGTAGGAAGATTTTGCGTTAACATAATTAATGGACATTAGCACGATGGTTATTTGTTAATTTTATAATATCGCAGATATGTGTAATGTTATGTGTACCGAATTGATATCGAAACTGCCGCATTTCTTTTCTTCTGGACATGGAAAATGGTTTAATATTACGTAGATATTTATTCTCAGATTAAGACGAAGGTACCTTGAATACGCATATGATCTTTAACATTGCACAACTAAGAAGTAGCCAAAATTTTTAACGAAAAATAACATTAAAATCATGTCCTAATACCGTTCCAATTTCTTAAGATATGTGAAATAATTTAATGATAGATGATTATTAATCAGTGTCAGATTAAGGTACACCTAAAATATTAATCACCTAACTGATCGTATATTTAAACGCTTATTTTGTCGTGCGTGGAATATCTTTCACGATAACGTTATCGCGATAGATGATCTCATTAAGTACGAGACCTTAATTTATTGAGGTACTGTAATTGCATAATTATTATCCCCAGCACTAAATTCAACTCGAAAGTTTTCATGCGGTTCCATAATGTATGAATGTCGATGTAATGAACCTATGAGTTAAATAACGCACCAATTGCGGGCTTTATTAAATTAAGCCGTAATTTCATTTAACACCCATTAAGTGGAGGCTGTTATTTCGTCTACATCTTTAATTAGAAAATTTAGTAAGCCAGCGTTTCGTCATTACGCCACTTAACCCGACGCTCTGACGAAAAAGATATATCCTACATCATTACTTTTAAATTCTACCCGAGTCGAAATTTTAACCCTCCTTTGAATTTACGTACCTTAAATAACACCCCCTTTGGCCATACTTCACTCTTTATCATCTATTCTCGGCTTATACGTTCTACTTACAATTAATATCAATTGAGCCCTACTTTACACCTTCATGATTTACGCGTCAAAGTTGATTGTTTTTGAAGACCGACTTTGATCATCGTACCTCCTCGTTTCAAACCACATTCTATTTAAAACCTTTATAAATCGCTGCGTTAAATTGATCCATTTTGGAGATGTAATTTGTGCTCTTCTTTAAAGTAAAACAAATTATTCACTGCTTCGCAAATGTTTTGTAACATATATAACGAACCAAATCGTATCATGATTCCGTTGTTAATATATTATCCTTTGCTTTTACCCTTGCTTCGTACAGGAGAAAAGAAAGCGCTCGCACGGCCGTTTATTCCCAATCAGCTCTCGATCAGTAGACCAATCATTGATTGGAATTTCCAAAATCCGACTTTTGATTCCAACTCGGCACTCCCGGAAACCCTCAAGTACAAAAAATCAGCCCCCAGGTCCATTCGCAACTACCCGATCCGGAATTGGACACATGTACGCCCGCACAAAAAATGCCCGATTAGTGCCTAGAATTGTTTGATATCCGTTACACCCAATGATACCTCTTCTTTTTTCATCCAACCATCAATCCTAACAACCACGTAATATTAAGTTGGTACATTAAACATAATATTGTTCACTAGAGTCCATTCGCAACTACCCGATCCGAAATTGGGCACATGTACGCCCACACGAAAAATTCCCGATCAGTGCCTAGAATTGTTTGATATCCGTTACACCCAATGATCCCTCTTCTCTTTTCATCCAACCATCAATCCTAACCAACCACGTAATATTAAGTTGGTACATTAAACATAATATTGTTCACCAGAGGTGTTTGCGAATAGTTACTGTCGTGAGATCCTATCTTACAAGTGGTATGTTCCAATCGCAATTGGGTGCACACATCATTTGCGTCCTTGAGTCCGGGACAACAAATTCTAATGCAGTATTTCCGTTTACCATCGATACATTCATCAAACACTGCAAATACGTAAATTAATCTCTAATCCCAAGTCCAAGTTCTCTGATCTTTGCTTAATAGTGCTACACAC